AGACAAACACGGCTTTGTTTTACACGTGTGCAAGAGGTGCATACAGAAGTGAACTGTGAACCAGTGAGCAAGTTTAGTGATAAGCTAAGTGTGAAATCAAGGTCTGACTCCGAATCGTGTGACGATAATAACGCGGCGAAGAAGCCTGTAGTTGCAATTAGTAAGCCATTGTTGAATAGCATGCCACAGAAGAGAGTTACAGTTTAAGTGTTCAGTTCTAACCCAACAAGTTAACAAGGTATTACTAGTCAGACTGAAGGTATGAAATCTTTAGGGATTTGTGAGGAAGAACGCAAATCATCCACTGCTGTTTTTAATGAGTTTGAAAATGATGAAGTCGACCGGACAGATGATGGTAAATTGAATATTTGTGATAATGATCACGATAGTGCAGATTTGTCTTTGGTTGATCAGGATGAAATGGAGGGGAATGCCTACTACTGCTAAGTTGAACAAAGGTTCTGTACAACTTGAATGTGAAGTAGAATTGAATACAGATGCAGTTGCAGAAGGCATGCATACTTGTGAAACCGTCAGTGTAATTGATCAGCGTGTAGCCCACCTATCATCAGATGATAGTGCCAAACCCGAACTAGTAGTGAGAGACAGCAGTGGTGGTAATCTTGCAGTTAGACAACTATCTGAAAGCCGAACAAGAACAGCTTCTGATTCACCGCTAAGTTCATCAACTGGTATCAATCAGTCGTCGTTGGTGTTGTCATCCACAATGCGAAGGACGCCCATCAACTCAAGTATCTTGTGCGATGACTATGATAGTTGTCAGTCACGTCTCGTAAACCGTCAATGCCCAGCTCTTGCTACGCTCGGGCTCACGCTGTCGCTTGAAGTTTCTCAGAAATGCTTAGTAATAACGGACGAAAAAACCAAAACACCAATTGTTGACTTGAGGATTCTGTATTGTTACACCAACATATAGCCAGCTTTAAAACTAAGGTCTATGAACAAATTTTTTTCCAACTATGCACAGAAATGATTGTACATAAGTGAAAAGGATGTTTTATACTATTGGGATTAACATTTATCAAGTGTATGCATAATCTCCAGTGTACATGTTAAACATATTTTGCTATCGACTGTAAATTGTGACTAAATAACATGGTCCTATTTCTGTAACAATTTGATGATGCCTGTAAACTGGCGTCCCTCATGTACTGTACCATGAGAATCAATCTATCTATTTATTTATTTAAATGAAATAAACATTTCTCTGATTTCAAAATAACACATCAATGAACTATAAATCAAGGATTCTGTACACTACAAAATTATGTATGAAAACTGACTTCAAGCTTTATTTTTTTTTCCCAGGCGCTTATAACCCATCCACCAAAGACCTGGTTTTTTTGTTAATGCGAAGACAATACTTCTGTATTTCCTGATGTGTTGCACTCACTGACAATCTAGCGGATTTTTCCAACTATGCACAGAAATGATTGTACATAAGTGAAAAGGATGTTTTATACTATTGGGATTAACATTTATCAAGTGTATGTATAATCTCCAGTGTACATGTTAAACATATTTTGTCATCGATTGTAAAATGTGACTGAATAATATGGTCCTACCTCTGTAACAATTTGATGATGCCTGTAAACTGGCGTCCCTCATGTACTGTATCATGAGAATAAATTTATTTATTTATTATTTATTTAAATATTACAATAACAAATCACAATATTACTTCTGACGGTCTTCTCCTGACTTCTTTCTGAACAGCGACCGATGAGACGATGACTGTCGTATTGATGCCTCCGCGAAAATTGGGGAAGTTGGTTTTGAGCAAACAACCATGAATTGATCGTTCAATCTTCAACTCCATTGACAATAATATTGGTGCGTTTGAAAAGACGAAAGATGTTGGTCAGTTTAGTGAGGATAAGCCAAGTGTAAACGAGAGAGTAATTGTTAAATTGACTTGCATGAATAAAGGCATTTCTAGTTTCAAGTTACTATTTGAATTCTATTATCTTTGGTGTAAATTACTCTTTTTCTGCGCTTGGTTGATGAGATATGTCGTGTGTTTGTTCGTCATCTATGTTCTACGATACGATGACATGAGCGTGTTACCGTTCAGATTCGAGGATATGGCTGATATATGGAAGTCAGCAAATGAATTCTTCGACGATTTTCCAACCTAGGGCGTCAACCTGAGAAGGGTTGTAGACGTACTGCTGTAAGTCCTGCAAGTCTTCAAAGGAATTCCACCAAGACATGAACTGCGAGGTTGTTTGTACTAATTGTATATACGTGTGGTGTGTCATATCAATTGGTGTATTTTGGATTCATTGTGTTTACTTGTTGTTTTCGTATCTTGTTTTTATTGCATAATTTTGTTAAAATTTTTGTCGTGATTACTTCTGAAGTTGTTTCTAGTCTTCTACATCCGCGAATGAATTGATTGATGTTAGAGACAGCGGATTGGTCGTATACGCCGGGGAGGCTATTGCTGAGAATGAAATGCATACGGAGATAATTGTTAGCTGCGGTCCGACACGCCGGGGAGAAAAAGTGTAAACGACTGAGGCTCGCATACGTCAACGTTACTAGAACTGAGGCAGAATGAGTGACAAGCGATCGCAGTGGTAATTGGTAGTGAATAGATAATAGGATGTGTCAGTGTAGTTGAAGATTGAACGATCAATTCATGGTTGTTTGCTCAAAACCAACTTCCCCAAATTTCGCGGAGGCATCAATACGACAGCCATCGTCTCATCGGTCGCTGTTCAGAAAGAAGTCAGGAGAAAACCGTCAGAAGTAATATTGTGATTTGTTATTGTAATATTTGTTCATAGACCTTAGTTTTAAAGCTGGCTATATGTTGGTGTAACAATACAGAATCCTCAAGTCAACAATTGGTGTTTTGGTTTTTTCGTCCGTTATTACTAAGCATTTCTGAGAAACTTCAAGCGACAGCGTGAGCCCGAGCGTAGCAAGAGCTGGGCATTGACGGTTTACGAGACGTGGCTGACGAATACTATGCACTGAATTAATGCAGTAAGTGACCCATTGAGAAAAATTGAAGGACTGTTTGCCTTCTCCATTGTACTGTTCGTGAAACATTCATGAAAACCACCTACAATTGTTATCCTAGCAGTCAACTGAGCAGACAATAGCACAATATTAATAAAGTTGAGGTATTTTAGGTGCATTGAATCCACGTAACCCATATTACACAGCAACAATCAGTGCGTATATATATGTATATATATATTAAATCCACTTAGAGGAAACATTTCAACTTACGATAATTCCCGTCCAACCACAGGTAAAGTGACAAGCACATCTACATGATAACTCAGGTTCCCACAGAAGGCTCTGTCAGCATTTATAGGTGATTCCCATGCACGACAGTATTCTTTTGTCAAATAGTACTGTCCTTCAAATTAAAATAGCTACATTGATTTCCTGAGACGTGAAGTCTTAGTTGAATGATACTATGCTGAAAGTCCAATCTTCTGTATACAGTAAACTATTTGTGTAGATGACATTACCTCCCATGTTGCTCATTATAGCGATATTTTGCCACAGTTTGCCTGAAACATCAGTCATTGCAACCAATATGCTAAGAATGTGCCCCAGTCTGATCACACGATGTGGACACCAAAATGACTAGTAAGGAAATGAGAATTCCCACCAATTCAGAAAACACAGCACAATTTTGTCAAAAATTACAGAAAGAATTTACCGAGCGAAATTTCAACCACCGTCTTAGATAAGCTTAGCCCATCCGTTATAAACAGTGGCACAGAGCTTGCTTTAAAACTTGAACGTTTTCTGTGACCTTACTAGTTATACAGCCTAAATTTCTCACTATTTATTGCGCATGCAGCGGCGTACTCTTCGGTCTGGACTATTTTATCAAAAATACGAAAATCATATCCGGCCATTGGAAGATGTTCACATTATCAAAAGGAAATTCCTAAAAACATAAGATTGTGCAGTACAGAGTATTCGGAGAAAAGGGCAATAATTCTATCAATAGTCTGAAATAGCTTCCGCGAGGCGAGAAAATGAGAAGGCTGGGGATACATTTTCGCGGAATAGGGATTTCGAGACTTGAAGTGTTGACGTTCGCTGTTAGTATGACGTATACCAACGCAATATCTTATACCAACAGTTTCCATAGTGTTCGTTGCTAGTGGACCAAATTCAAGGCGAAACACCAAATTTATCGTCCAAAATACGAAGTGTATTTGTGGGGCCAAATCATAGTCAGAGGCTGATTGCCCAACTAGCTAACGATCATGCGCGAGCGAACGAGTAAACGCAGCGTGACGGGGTACTAACTGGCGTGGATGCTTGACCATTAGCTCTCAGCTAGAAAAGTTCACTTAAATGTTTAGCAATGAATGCTGCATCTATTAATTTCGGGGAATTATCAACAAAGGTTAGTTAGTAGTATCCAGTAAAAATAGTGCAAATACGAATTGCTCAGAAAAGATCAACCTCAGGTAGGGTATCATAATGCTTTCTAGAGTGGCATGAAAAACTTACCCGTAAGAGTGCAGTAACATAGACGCAGCCCGACTTGTTTTCGCCGATGATTTACTACGTGGGATTCTTTGCTAAAACGACGTAGCCACGGCTCCATAATTTGTTAGATATAACAGAAGATTGGACAACAATGTGAAATCAACATCTTTGTGGTTGTCAACCGGGAAGCGTAATAAATTTAGGATATTCCGTAGTTGTTGCAAATATACTATTTAATTCATTTCGGATGATCTAATTTACTTAGAGAAGCAGTAGCAGCACCCTGATACAAGTAATAAATTCTCATAGAAGAAAATCAACTCCCCCTCTCTTACTGAGTGTAGAGGTGTAAGAATGATAGAGGGAATAGATTTTCACCGATGAAATCCGTAAAAGATATGGATGCGTTCCGGATCATCGAGATCCATGAAATCGGTGGCTTTCATGCTCGTCTATACGTAGTGAATGTTGAATGATCTTTCAAACAACTAATAAGCGAACTATTTGTTCACATTAGGTCACAAATATAAAGCTAACCACTCTGACTTTGCAAAATTACCTATGAAGCTGGATGATTTGTTCGGACGTGCTGGAGGTTCAATAACTGAATTTAGGGGTAAAAACAAAAACTGTAACGTGTTTTCGAGGAAAACAATGAACCGTTGGGAAGTTACGGAAGAAAACAAGGTCTTTATAGTGTAAATATTACTTAACACTTATTTTCTAGTAATCTATACGTTTCTTATACACAGTGTTAGTTATACTACATTTTAGGCAAATGGAGTAGTTTTTAACAAATATTTATTGCAGCAGTACACACTTCATTGTAAGAAAAGAATTTTGAAACGTAGAGAGTTGTACAATGCTTTTTATTTGGTGCTGGTACTTTACTAAATGTTTCGTTTGTGACTGATGAAATGATTGGAGTAAATTAAACCCTGTAATCGACATAATGTAATAAAAATTGTCTTGTTTACTCTACAGTTTATTTCGGTTGCTAACACTGCACTGAGTCATCTGCTTAGTGGCGTTACGGTTATTAATAAATACCACAAATTCCTACTCGATATGTCTTATCCAAGAAGGTATATTACGATACAATTTGTTTGCGGTTCATTCAAATTCTTCCCACTTAGGTGGTTATATCATGCATCAGCTCCGAAAAAGTGTAGGATAGGTAAATTCCTCAGCGACTCACTAGAAAATTGTATATGAAACAAGTGTAGAGTCGACCGCATTGTGTTATCAACACAGTACAATTAGGCAAAACACTGAGACCTGATTTTACCCTGATATAAGGTCACTGTGAATAGATTTTCACTGCACCTTCTCGGTCCTAAGTATTTACAAAACTGGAACTGGTAGGTCAGTTTGACTAAAACTCACTACTCATACTCATAACACAACCATGTTACGAGCAGGAATCATTAAGTTAAAGATAGGAACAGTTTTGTATTATTGCTCATCCACGACAGGCAAGTTCACTTTAATTTTGTAAGCAAATGTCACTGGTACTGCTGAACCAAAAACTGCTTCAAATAAGTTTATTTATATTCTGTGAAATTCGGAAGCCACGATTTCATCATGATTTTAGTCTTTTAGTCTTCTGCTACTACAGTAATTAAATTGTACTGAACTTTGCGTGATTTATTTGTTCAGCAAAGATTTCTTTTCGGTGATTTCCCGAAAAGATATCTTTGTTGAACTTCGTGTTCTCTTTTTTCTAATGTCCTCATGGGTGCTTTCCGTGATTTATTTGTAGTCCAGGTGTTCAGAAGAAATAGAATATGAGGGAACTGTTGAACGTCAAGAATTTACGGCGGTAGAAACCATTCATCAAGTAACATTGTTCACTCAAACTATCTGAATGGATAACATTCTTTGCAACTATTAGGGATTCCAGTCTTTAGTTCAGTTGGCCCTTAGTAATATTGACCAAAAGTTATACGTAAGTTTTGTAATTAGCCTTTCGGAAAGGCTTTTATGTAAACAAAATTATTTTAAGCCTGGAACAATTTTATGGCACTTTGTTTACAATTTCAAACCTAAGAACAAAAGTACCTAAAACACTGGTAGACTATACAAACTAAATCTTTAGTTTCATTGGTAGTCAGACGGTCTGGGATAGTTTAGGGTTGAACAAATAATGTTATTCACGTTACGCGTTTCGTATATCAGTTGTCAGGTCATTAGTTCATTAATTCAGATGTCGAATTTGCCTTCAACTATGACGTTGTTTATTTCTAGTCGGCTATTTGAAGAAACAGGACTGTACTGCCAACTTGGAACAAATACGGAAAGCTTAAGGTAATCAAAACTAGTTTTCGCAACCTCTCAGTTAAATAATCAGTTATATGTATTTCTTCTTTGCAAAAGCAGATGGTAATCAAATTACAGTGATCAACTGACTAGTTATCAACATAGGACTTTACACAAAAGTGTTGCAATCTAAGCTGTTTGACACCACAGAAGAGGTAAAAAACGACTAATGAAGCTACAGTAAACTGAAAGGCATCAGAGTAAGAGTAGCTAGATGAAGAATAGTAGGTATTTTCGTAACCTGGTCGATGACATATCGTGAATATATTTGAGTCATTATGCGCAATTTCACTCTGTTATCAACAAAATCTAACAATGAATTCTTAGAATTTTTTGAGGTCCCCTGACCTGGTTAAAACCAACAGTCGAAGCTCTCATGGGTTTGTGATCTCTTCTGACCACTCATAAATCTTTTCAGCTTATTACTATATCATATAATATTGCTTGTCGATAAAGGCATTGGCCAACTGTGTGAAGCGCACATAATATATAGCTCAGCTGATGGTGCCACATATTCTCATCACCTGATGTCTTCTCACTACTTATCATTTTATACCTAAAGTCAGTATCACTGAAAATATCGCTTCACCTAACATCAGGAATTCAACCCAGACACCAGTGGTCAGAAACTTCTGATCTTCCCACATGTTCCATTTTCGCCGTCCATGTGTTATAGCTACAAAGAAGTATCGAATGAACTGCTGTGTACTGCACAAATGATTTGTTGCGTGGCAAGACTTCACGTGTGTGGCAAAGGTAAGGTAGGAAAATGATGAACGAACTTTGGAATCTATGCTGTGGCCTGGTCAGGAATCAGCCTGTGAAGGCTGATACAATTCCTAAAACAGATCAAGCACTCAACACATTCTACCATCTCACTATTCGTCCACAAACTATAAATTGGTACAGATCAGTCCTATAATATCATCCTATATCTGAAAGTGGTAAATTGCATGCTAAACAGGTTAAAAGCTTTGCTCATGATATCCCAAAGACTCTAAATTTTTCAAGGCAATAACGGGACAAACTGGACTGGGACATTCTATTGTAGTAGGAAATCTTACAGAACTCGGAAAATGATAGCCTGTTGGCACTAAAAGACTGGGGATTCGTCACTGGTATCGGTATTTTTATTATTATTTTACTTCTCAGGCACATAATAACTATTGCCTCTTTTTTAACAGCCATTTGTAAACTTGATTTTCGCTGAATATAGTTTCTAACAACATTAGTGGTATTAATTTAAAATACGAATACAGAGAGTCATTGAGATTTCCGATTCGTAGATAATATTATGCGACTGGAATTTGGGAACTTCAGTAGAATCTAATTAGATGTAATACATAATGATACATTATTAGTAACATTATCTGGGCCTTGGTTCTAATTCGAAGTTAGGCGTAATTTTTGTCTCCTAAAGCCAAGAAAAAGTAAGGAAAGGAAATCTTCATTACTCAGCATCAACAACAAAATTCGGATCTTCAATACAAATGGCAAGTTAGTTCTTCTATACGGATCAGAAACTTGGTGAGTCACAAGGAATATTTCCAACAGCCTGTTGCAGATCTTACCTTTATCAACAACTGTCTTTGCTCTATACTGAAGATCAGATGGCCGGACGAAAAGAATCACCAACAAGAAACTATAGGAACAAACAAAACAAGAACCGATCGCCAGTCAACAAATATGCAGGAGAAAGTGGAGATGGCTCGGACACTCATTGAGGAAGCCGCTGGGTGACATCGCGCGTCGGGCCATTGCTCGAGTGGAACCAAGCCGAAAGGGAAGCGGCAAATCTGACGTCAGTGCAAGGGTGACATGGAGGAGATCGTTTGAAGAGAAGTTGAACGAGTATGGACTAACGTGGATGCAGGTGAAAAGTACAGCAGAAGGCGGAATCAAGGGGAGACGTGCAGTTGAAGCCCTATGTTCCACTAGGAACCCAAGGGAATAATGATAATAATAATAAAGCCAACCAATTTACCCTACAGTTTATTACTGAACATATATATATATATATATATATATATATATATATACAGGTTATTTATTGTGTAAATAAGTTCTGAAATAGGATGGCCGTAATCTGTTGGAATAACAAGTATAAGTCAGACTTTGTTTATTAAATATCTATCAAGTCTTTGATTGCTGCATCGTGTAAGTATAAATCTACATTGATTCGATATCCATCGAATCTTTCATATATTAACTTCTTACGTATATGTATATATACATATATATTCTTTATGACAGATTGATATTTCTTTTGTTTGTCTGTGTTTATTTACGTCACTAGATTATAAAATGGGTACCAATACCACCTAGTTACACAGAATTAGAGACTTCAGAGAGAACGAATCAACTTAGACGTAACTTTAAGGTTTACTAAAGCGAAATTTAATATCTAGGATATCCTTTTACACCATCTAGAGAAACTGAAATACTCCAGAAAATTGAGCATAAGAATATTGTTAAATTTATAAAGCTGATTCAAAACTCAAATATCAATGCTAATGGAATAGGTAAGATAATGTCTTTAATTTTAGTTTTTTTATTAAACAAATATAAATGCTTTCCATAAAAAGAAATAAAATATGATAAGATACAAGTCCATTAGTATATGCTATTTTGAACTTCCTGATTAGTAATTTAAAATGTTACCTGAATCCTTTTATAACAATACTTTTAATCTATACTTCATTGACTACGATTTGCAGTCGAAGTCACTAACTGACATGGTTATATCTTTGTGTTATAAATTTGATTGACAATTAAAAACCCATCTAGTGGGGAGTGAGGATGGATTTCTTGCCGATGACATTGGTTGGTGGTCTCGCTAGCAATCATGAATTGGTAGAATTTAGAATTCATGGGCCACTGGATCGGGTCCCAGTGGCTGAATGGCATACAAGCTTTCCTCGTAACCGATAGGTCCCGGGTTCGAACCCTGGTTGTGGGTGCGTACTCCCGATAAGTCCCAAACTAGGATGAAATAGCTGTGAAGTACTCTTTGGTTTTTACTGGTTTTCTAACTGATATCAATCTGTGGTCTAACTCGAAAAACAAATCAAATCCTTACAAATGAGCTCTTGAAAATTATAAATAAGACAAATTGGGCTTAGTGCTTTAGTATTATAGAATAGATTAAAGTGACTTTAGTCTTTCCATTGATTTAAAATGTGTCTTTTGGCTAATGTCAACTTATTGTATAAGTCATCTTAATGTATTCAACACGATAATATCAGCTACCTTATTACTGAAAGTAAAGAACCTTCTCTTTTCCGTCATAACTCCTCATTTCGAAAACATGATAGATATTTACAGCCTAGGTCACGTTATATATCCTAGTTCTTTACATCTGAAGGACGGTGGGCTTGGACTGCTTTGGATGGTTTTCAGATGAGGTGAAATTAGGGGTATGTAGCAAGTTGTGACAATTGTCTTACTTCGACTGCTACCAGAAGTTTTAGTTTTTTAAACAGAGGTCTTGACGTCAGTCTATTTAGCACCTTCAGATATGTTTTCAAAGGAATTATATATTTTTTTAGAGTGAACTGTCTTCGTATACACAACAAGTAGTATCGCTTCTTCATATTGTGAAATATGGCTCAATAACTTCAAATGAACAACAAGCTGACAAATATTTATTCAGTTTATGTCTTTGTTGTGATATTTCAGTGGTGTACTGAATTGTGGTTTGATTATTATATTTCAGTAAGGGAGTATCACACATAACTAGCGACTTAATTAAAAGCCAATGGAAGCTAATCTTTAATTATTTAGGTTATTTTATTTAAATCAAGTTTTGTTTTTCTCGTTGACTGATTGAACCGAAATGTTTGGCTTCCGTTGACATACAGACACTTTAACGATGTCTGAGGATTAATATTTATGTTATTCGACTTCCATACTAACAGCCGACATGTTGGTAAACTTTGGTTCAGGCAGTCAGCAGGAAAAGATAAAAACCTGACTTGAACAAAAAATAATAACCTATTCCTATTGCACAAGAGGTGGCTGTTTTGGATAGCGCTTTGACTTTTGAAGGGAAGGGTACTGGGTTCGAGTTTAAGGGGGAACATCACCAGCTAGTGAAAACCTCAGGTATATCTAGTGATGAGTCCCGAATACGACGAAATGCGCCTCCTGGATTTCACTGCTAATCGCCATCCACTAAATAACATCTACTATAAGCTATGTTTATTCATTTAAAATTTTGTTGTAAAACCCGTGAAATTAGAGAAGCCTCTAAAATACAAAAGCCACTACAGGAATTAAAAGGAAATTGAGTTAGCTAATGCATTTAGCTCCATTGTGAAACTGTATGTGGAATTTCGATTTTAGGTTGGCATCACTATCAATGAATATCAACTGTAATTTAAATAAAACCAATTAGTCGGTCACATGGTGATAAGAAAGAGAGACAAATATTGCGTATAAGTGATGATATCATTACATTAAGATTCAAATTTTCACACATCAGAGCGAATAAAGGCATACTTACATGTATTGGTAAGGAACTTTTGTTTGAACTCACAGCAAGCAGATAGTCGTTTCGATATTAGGCGCCACGTCCTGTAGTGGAACTCGAATGAGAAACGAAAAGCTGAGTGTTCGAGGGTGATGTAGGGAAGAAGATGAACGCTTGTGGGTAATCTTGGAGTCAACTAAAGAGAAATACAGGAAGCAGGACATAAAGGAGATGTGCTGCGGAAGCTGTATTTTCTACTCGAAACCCAAGGGGATAATAATATGATGATATAATGAACTTTTACGTTACCTTTGGGTTAAGATTTATGTGTTAAATTATTTGTATTTAAATTATTCAGTCTGTGGCTATGTTTTCGTCTCAGAATAGCAGAAATATAATATAAGCATTGAAGAGTGTTTGTTTTTTATATGATACTAGTTTATCGAGTTATTATGTATGTAGGTCACTGGTTTTGTTGTTGATGTGCTACATCAAACAAGCCATCAGTTCACCATCTGACTTATAGGTATTGATAACGAAATAAGAGTCAAAAAGACACGAGTATTTAACAATGTGCTCTGTTGAGTGGTATATTTAAATAGAACAAAACAATAAGGTTACTCAGGGAAGAGATTTTAGGCTTACATGGCTAGCATGAATGAACTACGAATTGTGATGATGTGCCTGTTACTAGCACAAGGGAGGAACACAAAATACCGTCTGAGCGTCGTTGGATGTATACTCCATGAGATAAAACTGAAAACGCCTAAAGCATCTGAAGGTGAGGTAGAAGATTATTTAGTTATTATTAAATTCATTCATTCTGACCTATACATTTTAGCCATGCATTTATTTCCGTATTTTGGAAGCCACCTTACATGTACGTAATATTGCGTCATGTCAACGGCTCCATCATAGGCACAACGTAGAATCAGTAGGACTGACAGGTCAACAAGTCATATCTCTGAAATAAGCAATTACTGGTCTTACAGTAATGCGGCCATTTCTAACAGTTGAAAAAGAATGTAAAACTGTAGACAAAGAAAGGGAAACGCAACCATTAGAAGTCATAGGATCAAATGAGAAATATAAGGTAAATAAAGGATAAGTTATAACAGGGTACGGATTCGTCCACGTTGCAGTGATAGGTTTTTATTCATTTTTATCTGGAGTCTGTAACTGTTAATTTAGCTTGTCCCATACAAGCATCCTCCTTTACAATACCAAGATCGTTATTCAGAGCGATGGCATTTTCATTTAAAAAAAGTAAATAATCTTCAGGACTTCTTTTAACTGAATTTCTTTTAAATTTTGAGTGAGTTACTTGATGTCCAGCAATCAGAACCTTTGTACAGCTATGACCTATCATCTATCCCATCAATAAACCTTGGGAGCACATAAGATATGCACTAATCAAGATAGGAGAGCCTGATATAACTATTCTCCTGCGCTCTATGAGTAATTTTTATCCCCTGAACAAAAGTGTCTCTGAATAAAGTCATGCACCGTCTCTGCAAAAAGACTAACACTGAAAGGTTAATTTAACTTCCTGCCCTTTACTATTAAAATATTGTCTATGTTTACTTTTTAAAATAGGTAAAAGAAATTTCTTAAGATGGTGGAGAATTATTAGTGGATCTGTAGTTGAATTAAGTTGTCAAAATGATCTAGTATGACTTTTATAGAGGAAACCGCACAAATAAACGTCTATCGGCTTAATAATAGAAAAACACTGAAATATTTTCAAGCATTAATTTGTAAGGAATTGACTAATTTCAAGTTTGACCAAGGATCGACATCACTTTGAAAACCACTAAAAACCAGGGAGCACTGAACAGTTGTTTTGTCCTAGCTCAGAGCACTTCATCAGTACGCACCCATAACCCCACCGGGAACCAAACCTAGAACCTTCACTTTGCAAGACGAGATGGCTGGACATTGAGCCGCTTAAACGTCACACAGTGGTCTATGACTTCTAACGTCTGCAAGTTCGCGATATATAGCGCCACCGCCAGCCAATGTCATCGGGGAGGACTTGTCCACATAGCCGACCTGAAGAACCCCATTGATCACGAGTCCTCAGTATAATTTCAGGCAGTTTCGTCCTGCAGCCAGTCACTAGTGAGCATTAGACTGATTTTCGAGTGTTGGTTTCAAGGTCGAGTGTGAGGATGAATACTCGTCGACGATGCTGACTGACGATGACACTACTAAAACGTATGAATTGACAGAAGTTAGAATTCAGGACCATCGGATTCCGTCTTAGTAGCTGAATGTTCAAAGATCTTGCCTTGTCTCAGGTTCAGTCCTTGGGGGGTGAATGGGTTGCAGTTGAGTCCTGATGAAGTGTCCCAAACTAAGACTAAACAACTGTCCAGTAACTACGTGATTTTCATTGAAATATTGTTGTATTTAACAAACTCATCATACTTTTCACTACAAATTATTCAGATAACTGTCCTCATGTGTGTTGTTAGTAATAAATTTTGTATATTAAATTAATGTCTCATACTTTTCTTTTTTTTCAAGTTTTAGAATACCTGAAAATGGGGTAATTCTCTCATATAATTTTATGATGCTCTAGTGCACTCAATGATATTCCTAACGAAAAAGTATTGTCAGATACAGAAATTAGTGAATACTTCAAAGATATACTAAATGGAGTGCAGTACTGTATGTTAATCTTAGTACTTATTATTACTATTATAATGGTGATTTTCTTTTTAACATTTTTTAGTACATTCAGTAAAGATCATACACAGAGATTTGAATCCAAGTAATATGCTGATAACTGAGGACAATCACTTAAAAGTTAGAACTTTTACATGAATTTATTTATATTTTATATATATCTTTAAACTAACTTTCATTTATCCAGCATCAGAATACACTTTTAAGTCAAATTTACAATTTGTAAATTAATTTTACAGTTTACACAGTTCGACGAGGTGAAATTTGAATACAGTTATATATGTCCAAACCAAGTTCACTTTTAACGGTTTGAAAAAATTTGGGCATTGGGTAAATGATATTCATTATAACAGAGGTTTTTGTATTTACCAATGAATGAGAAACAAAACGATGAAAACAAAACAATCTCGTTTTGTTTTTCATTCATTGGGAAATACAAAAACCTCTATTTGAATACAGTTTCCTCTGGAAACCAGGATTATTCAAATCACAACAATTGATCTGTTCGATAACGTAAATGTTGATCAAGAAATAAGCGTAACGGTTGCCCTTCTTTAGATAACTTCGATCTGGTCAACAAGTATTACTGGCTGATAAGAGTAATATGCAACTACTAATATCAACTAATCAGTAGTATATAGTTTCATGCACAGAAATAATATTTGTTTTACGGAACAGATAACATTAATATCTTAATCATCAAAGAGCGAATTTATTCGGTGAAAACATGCAGTGATACAGTAGTATTTACTTATGAAAACAATTTATTGCTCATAATCATATCAAGTCACTCAAATAACTTCTATGGTTGGTTTGTAATATTCCTTGACTTACTTATCCTTTGATTTTAATGGTAGTAATAATATCCATTTCTCCAATATGGACTCTGCTTCATTCCTACTTCACGTGTTACGTGTAGATTTGATGAACAAAGATTTGATAGTCATTAAATCTACACCTAACACGTGCAACAGGAATGATGCAAAGCCAATCGTAGAGATGTGGAAAATGTTATTACTAGTATATGTGTAAAACTTGGGCACTGTGGTAGTAAGTAATATGGAATGTTATTACAAGGAAAATCAAAAGATAAAAAATAATTTGAATCACATTAACGAAATTTGAAAGTTGTATAGGCGACTTGATATGATTATAAGCAATAAATTGTGCTCGAAACATTCTCAGTAAAGAACATTGTATAACATTATGAAATTTTATCAATTGAATTTACTCTTTGGTTACAGGATTTCATCATGAGCTGACATTGGTTAGAGAACCATGTAGAAATCCCGTAACAAATCAGTCAAATCCTTACAAACCAATACTTGAAAATTTACTTTATGGAGGAATTATACTCCGCTACAGTGCCAAAATTCTATTCTATTCTCATTTAGAATATTGAATGGAAGGATCTAAATAATTTTAGGTGGACGGTGGAATGCACAAAAAGTCATCATCCACCTTAAAACATTGTATCAACCGTTAAGGTGTCCGTAAGAGTAGCCAACATTTTAACAGATGCAGAACATTTCAGTCCAACTAATCAATGGGAAAAGCAAAAAAAGGACATACAGATATTTCTCAAGTTTGACCACGGATTGATATCATTTAGAGAACCGCTGAAAATTAGGGAGTACTGGAAAGTTATTACATCCTATATTGAGACTCACTGGCAGTATGCACCCATTGGGTTTCGAACCCAGGATCTTCCGGTTACAAGGCAAGCTCGTATGCCATGCAACCACTGGATCCCGATTCAATGGCCCTTGAATTCCAGCTTCTACCAATCCGTGGTCAAACTCGAAAAAAAAAATCAAATCCTTACAAATCAACTCTTGAAAATACACGTATTTTTCTAAACTAAAAGGAATAAATTAAGGTGTTCTCATAGAAGATAAACAAAAACTCTAGATGACAAGTGAGATCAAACTGCATGAACAGTGGGTTTGAACCCTCCCTGCGTCAGTGGCACAGTGGTTAGGACTCTCGCCGACCATACACATGGTCCGAGGTTCGATCCCTGCCGGCGCACATCTGATATCTATGGTCGGCCTGCAAAATTTAGGCTACCGATATCCATGCTGAAAATTCCATACTTGTACCAAAAACACAGTGTGGAATCAAGCTGTAATCAAAAATAAAATAAATAAATAAAGTTCTCATTTTGACATTAGTCTACTGAACTGTAGCTGTCTCTGAAATACTTAACAATCGGTGAAATCAAATTTGAGAAGCCTACATTTTCGATCTCTCCTTCTACACACTTAACAGCTAAGTCTGCTTACTAAGAACACTTTCCATCTCAGTCCGGTCACTCTGTTATATACTTATATTGTGAACAGAAAGATATATGCCTTAGTTATTTCCTCATTCTCTCCTTCAGATATAAATGGTTTAAACATTCCAGTTATGGTAATTAGAGGACGAATTTCAAGCGAATATGTATTTCCGGTAGTTTTTCATTAGGTTTATACATTTTAAAATTACTGAGTACAGAGATTTGTTACCATGGTTGACAGAATAAGCATTCGAGTACAGTTATAATAAATATCTCTGTTAGATGAACTTAAAGTTCATGTGCAGCTGTAAAGCTGGATAGAGAATCTAAATAATTTTGGTGTAGTTGTGTTCTCTGAGAATTGGTGATTTAGTTGCAAAGCAGTCACTGTCTTACTAGATAAAATCCTCACTGCATACTTCACATTGATATTTTGCAATTAAATCATCCAGCTCACATAACACACCTACACCAAAATCATTCACCTGAACTACAAATCTTCTCCATTATCTCACAAATTAAATAAGTCCGCTGAATTAAACTACACAACAGTTCCATTTTGGTTCATAAAGTGACGGTTCAACTTTGAGCTTTTATTGGATCTCATTTTTTATAGAATATTCCCAGGATATTACCGATTGACAAAGATGTGTATTTGTATACCATTCACACAAACAGTAGTGCTCACCAGCCAGACTGAAGTGATCTAAACACTGGACGACCAGTTTCGCTCGTTTGAGAGCCATGATCATCAGTGGTGTCCTCAATTCGACTCAGCTCAGAGAGGTGAATCAGTTCAAACCACCCGATTTCTGGATGGTTACTTGAACGAATTGGTTGGTAACATCATAAATCAAATTCGAAATTTTCAAATTGATAAGCGGTTCAGAGACGAATTGTAGGTCAAATGGTTGATTTCTGAGTTGGTTGGGTTCTCTGAACTGGTTGATTTGATTTCGAAGCTTTCAGTGTTATTCTAGGTGAGATTTCACCGGTCCTCGACAATATCCGAAGACTATCGTGATGTTATTCTGAAGCATGATGATTAAAAGTGGCACCAAAGATGAAAACAAAACACATAGTTCCATGAAGAGTCTCTTTCAGCGAATTAATTATCTTAGCTTCACAATCGCAAATATATATGGGATATTTTGTATGTATGTTTACATTAAATTTCCCAAACGAGGACAAGAATAGGCATCTGACCACTTATACGTGCATATAACAGTTCACCTGCTGCTGCTGCTGCAGAGCGGTTAGGACTCAGGCCTACGGTTATGTACTGGCCGAGAAATTAATAGTCCTGACGCAAGAAAGACGGAAATCAGAAGACCACTAGGTTTGCGATGATACTTCTATTTTCCAAACACAAGGAGAATCAATATGTCACACAAGAGTGTGAGAGCAAAAATATATGAATGTCCGAACAAGTGTGTGAGCGAATATTCAAAAGTAATTTGAGAAGTTGGACGAGTATGTGTAGATTTCCGCGGATCATTAGGAGAAGGTGGGTCAGGAGTGGATGATGAGAGATTTTTGCTCTTTCGTAATGCATGAATATCAGAGCTTCTCGAAGGTGTTGATTCGACCAGGTGTGTGTCTTTCTGCAAATTAATCAGCCGTTGATATTCATCAGCTATGTCATGTAATGTTAACTTGGGATTTTGTTCTAGCTGATTGAGCAGTCGAGTTCGGATATCTGTGAAACGAGGAGATTGAAGACTGCATATAAGAATCAAGGCTTTGAATTGATCATCTGTTAAGGACCTGAGTCGAAATCTCTCACATTCTCGGTTGGCTGTGCCAACGTGAGTAAGAAAATCATCATTTTCATTCATTGTCAGCTTAAGGCAACGATAACATATGCTGAATAATGAGGAGTGGTCTCCAAAATGTTCACTCAGCAGCTTTATCGTATCATCGAAACACTTGTCACGTGGTTTTTGGGGTAAAATTATGTTGCAGTACCTTTCATATTCTGCGGGACCCAATTTACGTAATAACACTCGCACCTTTCAAGCATCGTCTTGTGAGGCGAGATCAACTGTGAATGAATCCTCATATCGTTGATACCATGTGTCAAAAGTGACATTCGCATCTGGATTATAATTGAACTGTGAAATACTATTCACAATGCCGTCGACAGATGGTAGCATGGTATGATTGGGATTGCTTGAAGGTGAAGTTGGACCAGTCTGTTGGTTGACGAACATTTCCATTAATTTCATTTGTCGTTCAAGTAGTAATTCCAATTTAGAAGGATCCATAGTTTTCCCCCTCGCCAAATTATTGTTATGTACTAGTTTTCCCCGTCGCCAAATTATTCTTGTGTACTGGTCGAGAATTTAATAGTCCTGACGCAAGAAAGACGGAAATCAGAAGACCACTAGGTTTGCGATGATACTTCTATTTTCCAAACACAAGGAGAATCAATATGTCACACAAGAGTGTGAGAGCAAAAATATAAGAATGTCCGAACAAGTGTGTGAGCGAATATTCAAAATGAACACATCAATAGACAGTCTTAACATGATTGGCTAATTGTAATGGAATATCGATCCACATATACATAGCAAAATATATCAGACTGTCAAACAAACACACACATTATATGGATACACGTCACCAAGAACAGACTGTCAAACAAACACAGATATTGTATGGATATATATATCACCTACCATTAACATGGTCTGGCGTCCGATCCCCTGCCGACGCACACCCGATATCAATAGTCGGTCTGCAAAATTTGGGCTGCCGATATCACATGCTGAAAATTCCATACTTCTACCAAAAGTACTGTGTGGAATCAAGCTATAATCAAAAATAAAAAAATATATATCGGTCGTTTTGACGCACATCCTGTCCAATAGGATTCAAGAACATCATCCAGCATGGTTATGAAAACGCAATAGTGGTGCTATTAGAAGTTAACACTGATAATCCATTCTCAACAAACGCCTCCTGCTTCAGAGTAATCTACAGAGTCAAGAATAACCTACCAAAGGCAACACCGTTTCGTCTTCTTTGTATCGCTGAAGCTCTGGCTATTCGCATAGACAAACCGGAGGTGTGCATACACAAGAGAATTACTCAACCCATTCTACTGTCACGGTAACAACTTCGTTGATTTTTGATGGCTTAATTTTGTTCGTTTGTCTGTTCCTTTCATTGCTTATAATTCTTGTTTTCATTTGGAAATCTTACATAATTTTGTATTCTCTACTTTGTTTCTATGTGTAACTCAGTCACAAAACTATTCATGCAACTGCTTTTTAGCAGCTGTTTGTGACAACTCATCACCTACACTAGTTTCATTAACATCAAATTTTTTGACCGTTTTTGTATTACGTAACTCTACCCAAAACTTACTAATTTTCACCTTTTTTAGTTAAAATAACCATAACCAATTGTATTTTTGTTTGACAAACTTAATGTACACATACATACAAAATAACTTATTTCTGCGATTGTACAGCTAAGAATATATATCACTAATTCTCATGCCTAATCTATTATCCCGATTATGTATCTTCTTACGGAAATGCTAACAAAAATAATATACAATAGTTCACTCATGCACACATACATTATTGTATATCGCATGCATATTTTTCGAATTCAGATATCCATGACCTTGACCTTTATTAGAACATTATCACTGAAGACTGATGTAAAAGTACAAACAGTTTACGATGTATAACAAAACAGAACTACTGCTTTACGAGGTGATCACGGATTGTTATTAGTTAGAGAACCATTGAAAACCAGGGAGTACTGAATATATGTCTCGTCTTAGTTTGGGACTCTTCATCAGTCTGTGGTCAAATTTCGATCACAGTTCATAGAATTTTGAACAAAAATAGAGCAAACATACCGTTTTATTTTTAATGTCTGTGCACGACTCACACATGATTGGACAAGGATTTTAAGGACACGCAGTACTTGTTTAAATGCGTTTTTAAAAAAAAATTTATTAACAAAATGTTGGAATTATTTATTTCGATTTCTTTGAGATGTATACAGATGTAAATTTTACACACATCTGCTTTTCACTCAGTGTCCAATTATTGTGGAACTATCCGGTCAAATCTTGATCACAATTTCTTATAAATTAATTTAAGCCTAGTTGAACAACAGATATGCCGAAATTTTCTACTATTTGAATTCATTAACTAACAAGCTTTTAAAGATAATTTAAAGGTGGGCAGTTACGGAATTCTATGCTTTGCTTACCGATTAATTAACCATCACTTTGGAAATATTGAGTAAAAACTTTCAGAGTGAGAATTTGTAGATATACAAATATCCGCCTCATCGAAATCTTAGTTCTTAAGGGACATTTGTCAAAGATGAATAAACTATCCAGTTTTTCACTGTTATCCTGATGTAATTTCAATGTTGATGTCTTTTTATTTGTTTTCTTGAATGAAAACAAGTGATTCAGTGGAGAGACTCTTTTCAACGAATTTATTTTGATAGCGTTATTAGAAGACGGAGATTATCTGAAAAATGTGATGTATTTGCGCTATACCTTTCGAACAATCTGATCACACATTTATTTGTCAAGTCAATATATATGGAAAAGTTAAATTAAACAAAGTGACAAAAAAGGAATTAAGAATAATTATCACAAACGTTAGGTAATCCAATCAAATAATGATTACCAAGGAAGGTTAAGAGTAATAACAAACTTTTTTTAATACACAAGGGGGATTCACTGCAAACCTCAAAAGTGCACAAGTGATTATATCACGTCCCACACAATTTACCAATTTTCGTGTGTGTGTGAACACATATACATAGGGAGGAGTAATCGCGCTTTATATGTGAGGGTGGGAGAGCATATCCCAATAGATGCAGGTGTTAGACTACCAACTTCGTCTATAGCTAAACATCTAGTCGAGATGAACCATAACTCAGCCTTTAATGTCATCTATAAAAACTGTCAAGGGCGTTTACTGAAACATGCTGAGGCTATAGCTATTCATAAACTTAAGCCCTCCTTGTGTATTTAAAAACAGTTTGTTATTACTCTTAACCTACCTTGGTAATCTTTATTTGATTGGATTACCTAACGTTTGTGATAATTATTCTTAATTCCTTTTTTGTCACTTTGTTTAATTTAACTTTTCCATATATATTGACTTGACAAATAAATGTGTGATCAGATTGTTCGAAAGGTATAGCGCAAATACATCACATTTTTCAGATAATCTCCGTCTTCTAATAACGCTATCAAAATTTATAAAAGGGACTAATTGTTTTAAACGAATTTATTATCAAGCTGTACGATCGCATATATTTTTAAGAAATTTTATCCAATGAGGGAATTGAATCATAGGTGTGAATATATGCTGTAGCTTTGGCCATCGAAAACAGAAAAGCGAGATGTCTGTATACAGAAAAGTTCGTTCATCCTCTCCAACTTTTGTAAAAAATTATATTTGTAAAATCTCAGCGAATTCGAAATGAGTAATTCCAACGTTTCCTTCGGCAATCTGGTCCGAACCTTTTCAGGGAAATTAATCGAAATTAACATAACATAGGTTTATGTATAATAGGAACATCTCTTGTTTTTAAAAACTTTGTCCAATCATGAGTCATATAACAAGTGTCAACAAGTATAATAAACAAAACTGTATGAGCTGCGATTAAAATTTGACCTCGGACTTACAAATATTGGTCTACCTTTGTTAAACACTTTAAACAGAGTGTGTATGTGTGGGTAAACAGTTGTAAAACATTTCTTAACGTCTCCATAAGAAGATATAGACAGTCGGGAATTTTGACCAAGTATTATTAATTAGTGATACATATCCATTCTCATTTATTAATCAGGATTTCCTATGCATCAACTAACATCACACCTTCATGTCTGTTCAAACTGTTAGTATCTAGAATTACATGACTAGACGTATTCTGAAAATTATGGTGTTTAGGATTAGAGTTTAGTTGAAGCACCCTGTCTAACTTATTGCATTGTCTTCTTTCTGAAGATTGGGCTGCTTTATTTGACCTACTGGAGTTGTCAGTTGTTGACTCGACTTTCATGGTCTTATTCCCACTATGCTAAAGTATGGTAATCCCTAATCATATTTTGGGTCTACTTATTTTTCGTCTTTTTATTTCAGTTTGTATACTTTTCCTTTGCATCGGTGGCAAAGCGGTTAGGACGTTCATCGACCATGCACATTGTCCGGGGTTCGATCCCTGGCCGACGCACTCCTTTACCTCGCTAAGCCAGAAATAATGCTGGTAAACAGAAAAGGTTGGGCATGAGGCTAGCAACCCTAACCTGTAAAATTAAACACTTCTACAGAAACTTCAAGCCACCAGCTTGAGGCCCTATGTTCCACTGGGAACGTGAAGGAAAAAAACTTTTCCTTTATTACGTCAATTGTTACTGTTACTGTTCTCCCTATGAATTATCCACGGCATTATTTCACTCGTTCCACTTGTCATTCTAAATCACTTTTGTTTTGCAACATCGAATTCTGTGTTATCAAATTTCACACAGTGTTACGTAGAATTTTAAATTTTATTCTGTTTGCCTAATAATCGTATAATTTTATTTTATTTTTGAATACAGCTTGATTCCACAAAGTATTTTTGGTACAAGTGTGGAATTTTCAGCGGAGATATCAGTAGCCTAAATTTTGCAGGCCGACTATTGATATCAGGTGTGCGTCGGCGTGGGCCCGAACTCCGGCTAGCGTTCTACTGTTGTGCCATAAAAGAGTCTGTATAAGAAGAAACTCACACCAGTTACTCTATCTTATGAATGACTTTCAATTCTGAAAAACAAAACAGTTTGGGTTTCATTTGACTGTTTTACGTCCGTTTAGGTTAGTAGATTAGCTTCATTTGTTCATTAGGCATCATTTAATAGTTCACGATACTTGTGGTACAGATCATAATCTATGATTTAGACTGGATGAGTTACAGCAAAAATCTTTTTCGATAGTCAGTTTATAGGGATGTGATTTGTTTTAAGTTTGATCTCAGATTGATATCCATTAGAGAAACAGTGAAAACTGGGGAGTACTGAACAGCTGTTTAGTTCTTGTTTGAGACTCACTGGTAGTACGCACTCACTGTCAGGGTTCGAACCCAGGACCTGCCGGTTACAAGCCAAGCTCGTAGACCTGGTTCTCTCAGCGATATACGATCTGTGGTCAAACCTGAAGAAGAATCTTTTTCTTAAAACATTCGCGAAGAAAGTGACTGAGCAAACTGATCTTAAACTCATTAATATTTCTCATTCTGAAGTCTGCTATGCTATGAGATTCTTAAATATAAATTCAGATGAAAAGCGGACCACAAATTATTTTACAGGCAGATTTTAATAGCCAAATAATTTACTACTACTGACAGTAAGACTGCTGCTTTTCGGCAACTGTAAACATAAAATACCCAAGTAAATGGATGTAATGACCCTGATCAACCAATTAGATAAGCCCGTGGTATGTGTGCCAAAAAAGCCTCCTAATTCCTTATTGGAGTCTTCAATGATAGTCCAAGCCTATTTCTGTGCATAAACTCATCCAGATAACTGTGTATCGCGCTATTTCGTGACCGACTCACTAATCTACAGCATATATGAGCCTGAGAAAGGAACAACATATCTTCTCGAACAGACTTTCTGTAACGACAGACTGAATGTCTCTACACACATCCATCAACAGCGGCTGCATAACATTGTAAAGACACTACTCCTCCAGATCTATATTTTATATTTCTTTTTATTACAGCTTGATCCCACACCGTATTTTCGGTACAAATATGGAATTGTCAGCATAGATATCGGTAGCCCAAATTTTGCAGGCCGACCATAGATATCAGGTGTGGGTCGGCAGGGGATCGAACCTCGGACCATGTGCATGGTCGGCGAGAGTCCTAACCACTGTGCCATCTATAAGCTTCCTCCAGGCCTATCACCCCTACAGTATTCAAATACTACCTCTTAATATAATTTGCAAAGTAATTTGTGTACTTCATCTAGATTTCCGCGTTTTTAGTATGGATTCATCTGGTTGGCTGGCCAAGGTCATTACGTCCGTTTTTCTGGGTTCTTCGTTTGGGTCGCTTATGTTGAGATTTACCCACCTTTTCAGCACTGAACTTAATGTATACAAAAGGGTAAAAATCGAGACTGTCGCTTTCGAATCGCTAAACAGTAATAACCAGCCAATGTAATGTAATTAAAAACTTATATAACTGGTTGGAATATGTTCACTCTTTAATCAGCTTCAGACATCTTATTATGACTTGCTTATTTTTCCTCTGAACTGATGTTTCTTTTTCCTTAACACTATCTCAATTTTCTCAGTGTGCTAACTGAATCTGTGAGCCGTTCGCTTAACACTAACACAGGTATCAAGTTTATTTATTGATCTCTTTTATTCACAAGACATTCGTTTGAATCGTATCCAATATAACTAAGTAACTTTGATATTACTGAAATCTTCATCTGAGAGATGAAATCTTCTGCTTTTACATGTATGGTGTATCGACTGATGAATCCATCAGATTTCAATATACGAAAAAAGTATACTTTTATTATAAACAGACACGAATAAGTCGTAAGGATTAAAAAAACATTTTTTAACAAAACTAATATTATTATATTACACTATGATAGTATTATTTATCAACTGATGTTTTGAGCACAATTTTTCGACCCTACTCATATCCCTTTGATATACATAGCTTTTATGCAGTTATATTCTGCTTCAAAGTTCATATTCTACCCTTATACATTGTTTTTCGTTTATATATTGTTCACAAGATAACAGATTTCAGCATTAGTGTAGAATTCACAGGAGAAGATGCATTACTTCGTGGAACTATTGGTACTCCTGAATATCTTGCTCCAGAATGTGTGAACGCTTCAGGAGATGTTTATACAGGAAAGGCATGTGTTCTTTTTTTACATTTTTGTATATCTCTAAGTAGCCGGTAGATGTATGGGCAATGGGAATGACTTTATACTGGATGATATATAGAAGGGTAAGACGTTTGTTGTATCTTTCATCCATAGCCATTCTACAATGGGGCAGATAAATATGAAGTTTATGAAGCCATTAGCACACAGCCTGTTATTATTGATGAGTAAGTTTAAATAAACTTACCACTACTGATTTATTTTGTATAGCAAAGTTAGTGACCAGTATATTCGTCGAATTTTTGAAGGGATTTTCAAAATAAATCCGAAAGAGAGAAATGATATTTCTCGACTGCAGGTAATATTAATTGCTTTGAATTTTGCATATTAAATTTCTGTGTAATGTCACATACTACCGAATATAGTTGCACTTGATAACTATTTTGAGATATAAAAATGTCATAATTACCTCATAATTTAATTTGTAAGGGAACGGCATGACGACTTTACGCAGACATCTACTGGAACCTGCTAAAGTTACTTTCTCAAGCTGTGGTTCACTAGTAGTTAAGTCTAACTAGCTAAGTTCCCAGAGTAGAACTTTGTACAGAAAAGGAACAGTTCAGGTTACCAGACTCTCTACAGCACTCAAAGGTAGGGAAAATATCCATAAGAACTATAACAGATGGAAATGTGAGAGAAAGATTAACCATGGGGAGAAACATGAGAGATTAATGGATACAGGGTATTAAAAAGGTTGAATGCATCTGCTGAATAATGGAGGACGACTTTGAGCTATGTCACCAACAGTCTTCAGTCAATGTCTCGAAGACCCTAACCAGGTGGTCTACACCTCACTACGTGGAGCAGACCAACAGCCAAAGACTTCGTAGATTGATACGACTACCCCAAACTTCTTTCCAACCTAATCCTACGTCAGCTGACGCTGCTTGACGAGAAAGGCAGCGGCATGCGTAACAAGTGTCTTAACCATCTCAATCGTTCCAGCTACCCCACCTCAACGACTGACTTTCCTCCCTCACCTTGTATACACCTAACGTAAGTATTGCTCATCGTACTGTACTACTTAACACGGGAGACAGAATGCAAACATTTGTAGTCAAAAACAACTGGCTTCTTCATTTCTTCCACTTCCAACGGCCACGTATCACAGACGTAAAGAAGGATACCGTGGCCTGCTGCATAGCACTGATAGTTGGATATCACATATATGCCTAAGATGAAGTAAGTTGGCCAACGCCACACGAGCGGTTGGCATCCATGCTGAGATCTTGTCAGTAATCAGTCCATTAGGGCTGGGTACAGCCCTCCAAATAAGTGAAACGGTCAACACCTACAACCACTTCACTTTCTATTCTTAATCCAGGAGTCAGTACAGACCAGTCACACAGTGTCATCTGACATTCCTCAAAGGTGAACTGCGCTTCGAATAAACCAAGATTTCTGCTCATTGTTCAGAAACCACTGCATTTCGTTAGCATCACTTATAAGTAGGCTGACTATGGCATATGAGTTCTTACGAACAATATTCTTATGAATTGGGATAATCAATAATTTACAACAGTCTAGCAGGACTAACTCAGATTCCCAGAAGTTATTTAGTCGACCCGAACGACAGTTGATCATCAGTCATTAAACATCTCTGGAGTCATTCCATCAGATCACACTGCCCCGTTTCAGATCAGAGACAGCTTTTGTAACCTCAGTTAGAGTTGAAGGGCTAATGTTTACATTTCATACAGGAATATGTCAGATGCTGAGTAAATTTTGCGTGGCTGTAAGGAAGTCCAACTGCTTTTCAAACTATTTCCCTCCAACGTTTCAGTATTCTATTCTGAGAGGTAATTAAGGCGATGTTCTTTCTGGGGATCGTTTTGTTTACCACTGGTTTCCTAGAACTCATTTCCCTAGTAAATCTAAATAGTTGTCCGCTGTTCCCTATCGCCGATGCCTATATTATCTCTCCAATCAATTCGTGTGTTCATGAAAGTGTGTGGGCAGTTCTTACCTCCCGGCTACCCACATCTGTGTAAATGATCTCCTCTTGAAGCAGAAGAATTATTTTTGCAGGATCGCAGAGCCTAGCTACTTTTAGTTTAACCTCTTTCCGAATTCATTAGTTCCAGATGGTGTAGTTCGTCTGGTCATTGAGATATGCAAGCTTGAAAACCACGTCAAGGTAACAGTCATCAGTCAAGGTTGAGTCAAGAACGGATCATCTAATGAGTTTTCCAAACTGCATCATAAATCGGAATACTTTATTCAACAGTTAGACTTCATGATCTTTGCAATGGCTTCTCTTCAAACAAATGACTAACTTATTATGATAGTAGGCCGTGTGAAATGTCTGTCGACCTATTTTATACAGCCTTGTGAATGTCTTTAGAGTCAATACAAGCATGCAAAGGCAGAACGTAATAGTACTTGGCGACGGAATTATATGTTGGCATTTGATGTACAGACAGGCGAAATATATCTACCGTATATTAAAATCCCAATTCGCAAATATTTTGTATATTGTGCTTCTTGTCTTCCATGTTTTCTACGTTCGTTCATTTCTGCTGTCCACCATCAACTCTACCACCCTGCTATCCTTGCAAATGATATATATATATATATACTACTTATAAGTCTTACCCATAGCCCATGCCACAAAACGAATACCGCGACCTCTCTCGCAAACTAAATACGACTCACATTGCCCATTACATGTAAACAGAACATTTTGATGACGTCACAGTTTCTGTCACAATCTGTGCGATGGAATAGACCGAAACGTCTGTCTGTCTGGATTCAACATAGAATTTGGCACCAAAGTGCAGCAGTTCGAGTTGCCATGTTCCAAATAGCACACAGAGGTAGACAAGAAGATGAGTGAAGAGAATCAATAGAGTTTGACAAGTATAAGAGTGAAAGAGAATGGGTAATGGTAGAAAGGAATATGAAAGATTACAGAGACTGAATACATCTGCGCGAGTGACAACGATTTTGAGCAATGTCACCTATTGTCTCCAGGCATTGATTCCTAGAGTCCGGAGGGCCCCAACCCGGAAGTTTGCATCTCCCTACCTGACTCAGTTTAACTGTCAAGGATTTCATGGATTGACGCCATATTTTTGTTTGGCCACCAGACCGAAACGTGCTCTGATGAAACTAGAGAAAATATGTTAACCAGTGAAATGCTTTAGCTCACTCACTTCCGAAAGTACCACAAAGAAGCAAGATAATATTGACTGTCACGAGAATTCCAACTAATACTTTAGGCGAGACAGAAGTCATTACATCAAGTAGATGGCTGCAAAGATCGTATTTTAAAATTCCTAAATCATTAAAAACTGTACCAAAAATTTTTTGAATGCGGCTAAGCTCGTAGTGAATTAGTCTCAAGTGGCAAGTCAAACCTCGTCACCCTAAGCCATCTTACATCTTTTGATCTCTCACCTGAAAATACGAGATACGTTTCAATTCATTTGGTGGTAATTTAATCCCAATTCGATTAACCGGTTTAAATTTTTCATGTTATCTATAACCTATACCTATTGTGTGAAGGCTAACAATACTATTTAGTCGCTTAGATCCACAATGATGAATACAGAACAGTGCCTAGGATATTTCTCGTGCATAGAAGAAACTTATAAGGTGATGAAAAACAAACTGGGTTTGGGACATCATCCAGTAAATAACGCGGTTCCATTATGTGATATACCTAATAAACAATTTAATATGGAACTACATGCTATACCAGTGTCCATTTTTCAGATGTATATTAATTACCTATCTTAAAATTTACTACGTTATCTTATTCAAAATTCTTCCAGTGGGACACGTACCGATACTTATGAGTGGTTTGGTTTCGATTTTGGAAATATATTTTTCGAGCTAACAAGTGTTCAAACTTAACATTTCGTCCTGTCTTCCGTAGTGTCTTAGTGAGCAACCGTAGAGGGTAGACAATAGAAACAGAACCGGTGAAACACGCTAAATTACTCAACTCCACTTTGTACTCAATTAAAAATGAACACGTCCCAGAAATCAATCAACCAGAAGTTATCTATTGTTACCCTGATAACATCTACACAAAAACATATGAAACATGGGAGATGACTTCTGATTAAATGTTAGTATAGGGGAGGGAAATTAAAATACAAAGGCATTTGGTGACATTAGTCGACCATACAATGTGAGAGGAATGAAAGTTCTCTGGCTGTATGAACATAAATCAACCTTGTGCTTGTAACTTTGTTTCTTGGTTTTGTTTCTGTTCTTGCTGAATTTTTCGATTTTGAATCCGATGAACTATTCGTTCAAGTATTCGGCGAGCTTCACAATCTGGGAAATTCGACATATCATAGTATTGAGGAGCGATTCGAACAAGCCTGTTAAATAATAGTAAAAACAACTTATTGATAAATAAATGCCATAATAAAGCTAAACATATTACAAATTACATCATTCATCATTGAGAAACTTCTGGTTAATCTGCAGCTAAAGATAGTAAAATAACGCTATGAGTATAGGTAGAAAACTGATAATAAATGTAAGTAAATCTTAATTTGAAACAAGTTGATTTACAGCAGTATAGACATAAAAGTTTAAAGCTCCTTTGTAACGTAGTCGTATTCCTAGAAATCAGATAGTACATTAACAAGCACAGATAAAAATCTCAAAATCCAGATGAAACAGGAACTGCTGAATAAGTACAGCTGAATCTTTAGCTTTAGTATCGAAATATGGATCATCAGTTACATGTCGATACATAACTTCGAATGGAATATGCATGACAGAAGTGATTCGCAGATCAAGAATGCATTCATGAACTGAAGCATATATCAAACCCATAATACAATATCGCAAGAAATCATTTGTCTGTCGACATTTCGATATATGATAAAGGTATTAGTCGGTTAAGGAAATTATTCATATCTTTGCCAGGTAAAATTAAGTTAGAAAAAGCCAAAACTAATGTGAAACACGATAGCACACCTTGGAGATATACCTTACTAGCTTAAACACCCGACTTCCGGTCAATAGCTTGAAGGTCAAGTTCCACTCTACCTACTTTAGTCATGATACTGGGTAGTATCATCAGCCTTCACATGACAAGTGTGGCTCATAACCTGGTACACAAGAGGTCTGATCCTACCAAATTTAAACAAAACATTGTAAATTAGTAACTAAAGGTCCAGATAGTGGAAAAAGTGGGCGTTTCCTTTACTACATTTTTGAAATCGATATGCTGGCATAACTTGAAAATATAAAAAACACCATATTGATTATCAACCATGTGGAAGAAATTCTTGTGAAAACTGACACGGAAACAATAATCCGACACAATCTTCTGATCTCAATGTTGATGAGAACGAGGACGTCAGACGAAAAACGCCGATTCAAAAACATACTGGAAACTTTCATTTCACCAGATTAAAAAATGTAAGTCTTTAAAAGGTAGTCCCAATTAAACTTTCAAGACATTTGTGTTTTACACGTTAGCTTTATTTAAAAGTGACTTATTTTTCACCTTACAGATTCTCATAGAAAATGTATGAATAACTATTATCGCAAGACAAATCGTCAATTTCAAAATGAATATATATATATATATATATATATATATATATATATATATGTGAAGAAATAAAATGCTTTACATGTACAGTAATACTTTCACTTTATTAGTTTAATGGTATGAGTGCTAAATACGCTAACTAAATTATTGATTCAACGTTGGAAATATAGACATTTAAGGATTAGAACATAATAGATTTTTCAGGAATTATTTCATTAGAAGACTACTTTGGATCAGAGGATGTATGAGCAATGCATAGATCTAATATATCAATTTATGAACAAAGATCGAAATAAGAAAATCTGTCACGTTACTGGTGAATCACAAACAGAGGTGATCTATTGGCCTTAGACTCGAAACCTGGTGTATTAACTATAAGTGGGTAGCCAAGTCTGTCTGTTTTCGACATAGAACTTTGCATATATGTGCGACAGTTTAAGTCGCCACACTCCATGTAGCACACAAAGCAAGAGAAGAAAGTAGAAATGCATACTAGAGACATTAAACAGGGGTGTGAGACAAAGAAACAGAAGTAACGAAGAACAATGTAGTTTCATTGGAAATCATAGGTTACAAGGAATGGATGCGTCAGCGCCATTGAGAACGATTTTCAGCAATATAACCAATTGTTTCCAACCATTGGTTTTTACCGTCCTAAGGACCCCAACCAGTAAGTCGACGTATTCGTGGCTTGAACTATCTGTTCTGGATTTCATTAACTGGTGCCATGTTTTCGTTTGACCGCCGCTAGTTCTTTTCCAGCCTGACCCTATATCAGCTAACATTGCTCGTCGAGGAAGGCGATGACTAGGCATATGTAACACATGTGCTAACCATCTCAGTCGTTGTAACTTCACAGCCTCGTCGATTGATTTCCCCTGCTTACATAGGACTCGACGCATAACCTCAATATTGCTCACCTTATTATACCACTTCAAACGGGAGATAGAGCGCAGGCACCTATGATCAAAGACAGCTAATCTTTTCATGTCTTCCACTCTCAGTGGCCAGGTCTCACAGCTAGCCATAAAGGAGGACGGAGCGGATTGATGAGCAGTACACCCGCCCTTTGGTCGATAGTCGGATATCACGTCTACGCCAGAGACGGCGTAAACTGGCATATGCGAAACTAGCCCTCTGTATCCGTGCTGAGATTTCGTCAGAGATCAACCCGTTGGGGCTGATGATACTTCCCAAATAAGTGAAGCGGTCAACGTGCTCTACAACTTCACTTCCTATTTTTAAACTAGGAGTCAGTGTAGTCCAGTCCTGTAACAACATCTTACAGCCAAGTATTATTTTAAACTCTCATGCTTAGAACATGGAGTAAAAACTAGTGTAGAGAAAGGAGTACTGGGTACACGAGTTACTTGTGTGTTTTGGAAACTAGATAGAAAGGAAGAGGAGTCGTCAAAGGAATAATGTACGACACTTCACCTCACGTGATAAGTAAGCACACACTAAACAGCAGTAGAATGGTTTCCGGTCACGCAGGTGGTCCAGGTCGGATCTCCAGTGGCCACACACTTAAATGTCGAATCCCGGAGAAGAGGAAAGGTTGGACGTGAGGCCAGCTACTGGAACCTCAAACATTGAGCTTTATGCATTAACCAGAAAGCAAAGAAATGAAAAAAGAACAAAACAGTGAGAAACGTACCAGTCTGGTTTGACTTCAGTCACTGTACGTATGTAATTTTTTGTTGTAAGGACAAATTCATTATATAACACCCATTCAGGTTTGTGATCCATTACAGTTGAAGGGTGAAGTTGAACGACTTGATTATCTTTCACTGTTAAATAGTGCCCAGTACGTTCAAGATGCGCAACCTTGAAAGAAATTTTAATAGAAACATCAGCTTGAAAAACGTATACTCAACAAATATAAGACAGTGAGTGAAGCAAGAAATGCAGCTAAATAGTTTCCTAACTGAAGTAACGGTAAATTATGTGGAGATAAATAATACTACGAAATCAGTTCGTTTATAGTAAATGAAACCTGGAATTATGAGGAAAGATGTGTCGAAGTCGAAGTACGCAAAACCTTGTCCAAAATCTAAGTGGGAATGTTCTTCTAACAACAAAAAATATGACCGCCTAGGGGAGGGGCGACGTCAACGCTGGAAAGGTATGCGTTAGGTTCTTGTATACATACGCACTGAATAAAGGAGCAGAAAAGTAACGAAACCATAACAAGTAGTTATAGTTGTGACGGAGGAAAGAAATTAACATTGTTACGGCTTTGCAGAAGCGCAAAAGATGACAAAAAGAACATATGCGCCATCGCGAACAATAGATTCTTAGTATCCCCAGGATCCTATCCAGGTAGTCTAAATTTGTACATACGGCTTTATACCAATAGTAAGTGACTTCAGGGATTAGCGCTCTTTTCGTCCCTTTCCTCTCAACCCCTTTTCAGTCTACTTCTATAAGTACTAGAATTGCTGGTTCAGGAAAGCCATAACTTGTCATGTGTGACATTTGACCGGGCCATCTCAAGTGATGGAGATTTCCAAAGTCATAGATTAAATTTTCCTTCTTACTTTACACCTAACCTCAGTAATACTCCTAAAATCACTTTACCAAGCACATGGAATTTAACCTAGACACATGTGCTCGAAAACTGCTAACGTTCCTACGTCTTTCACTTTCAGAATTTATATTCCATAACTGTAAAGGACAGAACGGATTGTTGAGTAGTACACACATCGTCTGTTGCATAACAGGATATTACATCTTTGGCAGAAGTTAGAATTCATGGGCCATTGGATCGGGTCTCAGTGGCTTAATGGTATACGAGCTCGCCTTGTAACCAGAAGGTCCTGGGTTCAAATCCTGGTGGGTGCGTACTGATGAAGAGTCCCAAACTAGGACGAACAGCTGTCCAGTACTCCCAGTGGTCCTCTAACCGATATCAGCTCATGATGAAATCATGTAACCAATCAAATCCCTACAAACCAACACTTGAGTATTACATCTTTGCCAAAAATGAAGAAAGCTGGAAAATTCTGAACGATCCACTTGTATCAGTGGTTAGATTTAGTCACTAATCAGTCTGCTAAGGACGATAAAACTCCCATGATGTGGTCAACAAATTCTAACATCCTACTTCCCATCTATAAACTAGAGGTTGGTTTAAACTAGTCCTATGGCATCACCTCACATTTGACAAGGGTGAATCATATTCTAAACACGCCTACACTTTTGCTCAAGGTGTTCAGAAAACTGTATTCTGCCAGTGTCTATACCTAAGAGAACTACATCATATGTGTACTTTAAATTAACGATTCATTCACTTGGTAGCAAGTGAATCTCTGCCACATAGAAGTCGGTTAAAGTTGAGTTCATACGCTAAAATTAAATAAAGATGTATTGGGCGATTTGGATAGATACCACTGATACAGTACTTTTCAGATTACTATCCAGATTGAAAGTTTTTCATGAATAAGGAGTGGTGAACACTTTCACATTTGACATACCTGCATAAAAAAGCCAGACACAAGAGCTTTCCGAATGTTGATATAATAGTCTCTGGATGTAAAGTCAGTACTTGAACGGCGGAGAGAAAAACGATCCATAATGCGTGACAACTGTACTCGTACATTGTCTGCAGACTTTAGTGATCGGAAATTTATAAAATTATCATAACACCATTGTGGATCTTCGTGATCTGTGAAAAAAAACAGCACATAATTTGGTTCAGGTTATCATTAGGAAATAAATAAATAACAAGTACACACTTAGTAAATTATATGAGTGACAGTCGAGAAATAAAATTACAATAACAATTTATTTTTTAGAAAACCAACTTAAAATATTAAGTTGCATTATATAATACTCAATCAATAAGTTGTGATTTGCACACATGTGAAACTCAATATTCTTTTCAACTCATACATGTAATAGCTAGTTCATTTACTTTAATTTACAAGAAGCATGAAATAAAATGAAACTCCCGGAAATTTCGGAATAAAAGGTTTGATAAATTATCGCAACTAAATATTTTTGAAACCCGACTACTAACATAAGGAGTATTTGTGTTTGTAGAGTGCTTCTTTGACTGCCTTATACACACAGTCATTGGGACAAATGACTTGAAAAACATTCCACATACGCTTGTTTGAATAAACCGATAACAAGGTCGTCATGCACAATATGATGAAGTTCACAGTTAAGTCATGTTGTTTTTATATTCGTTACTGAATGGACTACCAAACAACCACTTTCTTTTCAACTACCTGAACGTACACATTTTGAAGGTTGTAATGAAGGCATCGTTTCAGAAGGATAAACCATTCGAAAATACCTCCCAGTTTCTGTTTGTTACTAGAACTAAAAACTCTGAGATAAAAATGGATGATATAGACTTCTTACATTACAGCGTATAATTTCAAACAAAGAAGACTGAAGTTTTCAGTCCCTCTGACAAAATTCTGATAAAGCAAGGTACAGAGATTGAAATTCCTATGTCTTCCCTAAAGGAACTTCTTTTAAGGTTTACAATGAACGTAAATTTCCTATTTAATAAAGAAATGTATAGACAATAAGATGGTGTTGGCATGGGACCACCAGTAGGGCTAATTCCAACAGATTTTTTCCTGGCGAAATTAGAGAATGATCCTCTTGAAAATATAATATATAACCTTGATTTCTATTGCCAATATGTTGATGATACATTTATAGTTGTTAAGAAAGAAAATGAGGCTCCGCGGACATATTGCATAAATTTAATAAGGCATATCCCAGCATAAGCTTCAAGGAAAAAGAAGAATATGACTCTATCCCCTTCTTGGACGTCCTAATGACTAAACAAACAGACGGAACAATATGTACATGTTTGTATAGAAAAGCTACATCAACTGGACGATATACTCACTTCATGAGCTTCGCACCTCTACAACACAAACTTAATCTGATTAGATATCTGGTTCACCGACCGAAAGCTGCTACCTTGACGTGGTGGTCGGGCTTGAACACCGCAATGACCTAATCAAGCTATACTGGCTGAGACTTATGTCTCTTGAGGTTCTACCATGCCAGGCAGGT